AAAATAGTGATTTAAATTGCAGTTTAAATGGATTTTGCAGCACACTGAAAGAAAGCTGAGTAGTAGAGCTTACAGCTGGTTTCCTGTTGCCTCTTTGCATTTTGATGCCAATACTCTTAAAAATATTAATTACTTGTAGTTACTTTACCTGATAACATTTACAAGTCTAATGTACCAGGGGGCCCTCTTGCAAGCATAATATAGTTAAATAAATACATTCACTAAAATTCATCTAGCAAAAGGATAAATACAAATCCAAATATCACACAATACACAAAAAGCTAACTGAAGTCTTGCTGTGGCTCGTATTTGGGAAGGGTTACATTGCCCTAAGAGGAAACAAAGAAATCCAAAAACATACTGTTGGTGCCATAAGTCCCTGTTTAATGACTGAGAGTTTTCTTTGGATTCTTTGTGGTTTTTTAAATAAATCCCTTAACTCTCTCCCACCACAATACATATCGTTAAAAGAAATCAATACCATGGTGATTTTTCAGCTCTAACATCCTTTCGATGTAGGCGGAAATTAAATACAATGCCCTCGCAAGTGGCTTCCTAAGACTGATATTCAGACAGCATAATCTCAGTGGGGAGTAAACAATGTGGCCCTTAGAGGGACTGGACTTCATGAAATTCACCCTGTGCACACACTAGAGTTTTACTTCTGCAGTGAGCATGAAATAGGGCTTAGGAAGGGATGTAGAGTTTCACAGCCAAACTCTCTGGAATGAGCAAGAGTTTTGCAGTGAAAATTCTATAACTCTGAAAAAATCAGAACTGCTTTCAGTCCCTCAACTAAGTATCTCCCTTGTCAGTAACTGAGGGATTTTTTTTTCCTTTGTTGATGTTGCTATATTGCTTAACAAGATACAAAAGCACTTGAGAAAACGTGAGAAAACGGGTTCCTCCATTTCACTTCTGCCTAAGGGTAAACAAATTGCATTTTGAAAGACCTTAAAACACAGTTTCTGAAATGTTTTAAAACTGTTAAAAGGCTCCATTGTAGAACTCCATCTAAGTATGCTCACATGCCTCCTTCTTCCAGATGACAACAACTGGAAGAGCCCTCACTTCTAAATCATCTGCAGCTGGCAAGTAAGCAAAGGAAGAAAAAGAACAAAAAAAAAAAAGGAAAAATAATTTAATAGTCTTATTCTAGCCTTGTCTTCTCCCTACATACTCTATACTTTTCTTTCTCAGTTCTCCGTCTTTTTGGATACATTGATAATTTACACTATTCTGCATCAAACTAGAACAAACTCTGTTTTTGTTATACACAGGCTATGACTATCTGGTATAATGGCTAGATAATAATAACCAAGACAGTGTTGCTACTTGTAAGTACGCACAAGATAGCCCAGAAACCACATTCCAACCTCTACAGTCAATCTCAGAAAGACAAGTTCCGAGTAGGTGAATATGAAGTCACTTCACAAGATGGAATGTGCTAACAGATCCCGATTCTGAATTTTTGCTGAACACATATTTAACCATAAGCTGATGGGCTACGCTGAAATAAAATTAACATCACCGCATAAGTAGAAACGCTAAAGAAGGCAACAAAAGGAATTCTTCATTTTAGGGGTAACGTATGAGCAGCCAGACTAAAAATGATTAAATTCATGCTATAAAATACCTTATGACTTCAGCACAAAATTGAGTTCAGACATTTAAACAAATAATCAAATAAACTTGGGTTCCAGCTCATAAAAGAAAAAATTATCAAGGACTATTATTCTGTGGCTAAGCAAATTACTGAGCCATAGATCATGGGAGACAAAGTATTCTGGAGAATACATGTTTGCTATTTGCACATTCTGGGTTCTCATATATTTAAATAGCAGCAACACTGCAAGATTGGTGTGAAGTCTTAGTTCTACACGTGTCTGTAACTGCAAGGGCAACAATACTCTTTGGTATACATGAGGGGCTAAGAAATGGGAAGCATGACTGGAGAGCATTATGGTTCCTTCCAACACACGCAGTAGGGCTTCTTTCCAGATGAAACCACGGTATGAGAAAGGAGAAGGCCCAGGCACCCCGGCCCCACCCAGTACCTCACCCTAACATAGAAGCAATGCTTAGATGTATTCTTTAGTGATATATCAATATACAGGAATGAGAAACCAGCACAGCTGATTAACTGAAACATACTCAGGGTTTTCCCCTCCAAAACATTTCTGTAAGTCACCCACAAATAGTGCAGTCTGCCTCTACATTGCAGCGCTATTATAATAGAAGATATCACTCTGCATATGAAGAGCTGGATTTTGACTGGCTGTCAGAAAAATCCTACAAGAATTTATCATCCAACCATTTGTTACACGTAGCATGCAGCTGTGAGTTGCACATTTTTTGTGTTTCGGTCCAGAAGGGATTACCTACCTACAGCAACATTACATACAGCATCTGCCTTACTATTTCATTTTCACATTAACCTCAACCCTTTTGGGATGCAAGACTGATACAGTACTACACAGACTCAGAAGATCCTTCTCCCCTAGAAAAGACTCAACATCTGGTTCAATTACAGAGAATACGATAAGCCCAAAAAATAGCACAATTATCAAAAAACTCACTCACAGACTATTAGATCCCTCAGAGGGGGAAAAAAGCTTCTCTGCTGTGACATTTGAAAGCTCGAACTCAGAAACAAGTGCCTTCATTGAATAACTCATTTATTTTTAATTTCACTCTGCGGAGGCAGACAATTAAAGGGGACTCAGGCAAAGGAAGATGATATATCAATGGAAACGCACCTTTCTAAGAAAAAGAAGAGATAATTACAGATTCACTTTGAGCCTGAGGATTTGCTCACTAGCTCTAGGGTTATTTTACTAAACACCAATATACAATCAAATACTGCATTAAAAAAACATCATATGCTGACCAGCATAACCATTTCCAATTGTTTAATGAATTTTAGGAAATAATCTTACCTAGAACACAGGCACTTGTTCCTGCTCAGGAAAAGATGCACATGAGAAAGAAAAGCAGTAAAGAAGTACCGAGATAAGAAACCTTCAGGGATGTTTCAAGAGAAGCATAAAAACAACTACTGTTTGATTCCCCTTTGTTATTGAAATAAAAGACTCTGTATAGTGTTTGCCAACAGTGTTGTGTAGAACAGATAATTTACTATCTTTTTTCCATCCTCCTAACACAGATAACTCTCGGGACTCTAAGCCCTGACCAACTACTCTGACCAAACAAGACAATACGAAAAAAAAAAAAAATCAGAACTCACTGAGCAATTAAATTAATTCCTTTATCAGAATAAAGTTAAGGATCACCTTTTAAAGAGGTGGTATCACTAGATATAACACCATATGTTTATTATAAATCCACTGCAATATCAGAAGTTGTCCATTTCCAAAATTTCTATTCTGGTGTGGTTACAAGCATAGGAAGACAGACATTCTCATGAAGCTTCTTCCCCAAGAGGTGGAACAGTCATTA